TTTGTCATACACGTTATATTTTCTCTGCTCATGTTCCATTCTTTTATCCTCATTTTATCTACTTTTCTGGTGTTAATTCCTTGTGAAGCACTTTAAAACTAAAGAAAAAGTGCTACACAAATGACGTTTATTATGGGATATTAGCTTGACCTTAATCATTAACTTTGTCTAACCTCTTTTGTGACAGTTCAAAGTACCACGAAAGCACAACAATAGCAAGGTGTCGGCCCATCTCTCAATACTTTTTGTTACTTTGTGGAATGAAATTGAATGGTAGAGCATGAACCACAGACATGGATGGAGGTTTTTCTTTTAAATAAAGAATTGGTGCGTTGTCTTGCCTAACTTTTATTTCTCTCATTTTTCCTTACACATACAGTAAACTTGGTGAGGTCACACTGGGCTAGTGGATGCTTTGAGGCAATGTCACTAAAGCGGATATTTGATTCCTTTCCAAAATCTCCCTCTGAGCCAGTTAAGCACCGAAAAGAGAGAGAAAGAGAGGGACAGAAAGAGAGACACCTGCACCATCCAGGTCTGTGCCAGCAGGCTGACAGCAACAGGGGCAGCAACACTCAGTAGTAATACTCCTTCCTTCTCCGCCTCCTCAGGCTGTACTCAGGAGGCAGATGCATAATGTGCAAGGCTCAATGCATCAGCTTAGCAAACTGCAGATACATTTTTTTCTCTCTTCTTTTATATAGACCTACAAATAGAAAAATGGGGCAGTATATTTAACCTTCATGCAGATGAGTATAAAAGAAAAATAGAATAGTAAAACTGAATTAATAAATAAAGGAAAATATTAATATGTGTGGCTATATGTTGTTATAGAAAATTAAGACGAATAATGTTATGTATGATTTAAGGCATTTAACCCATAGATGAATAGGAAAAGGGAACACATGGATCATACACTTTTCTTTGGAAGTATAACACCAGATTTTGGACATTTTAAAGGCATTTTACAAACTATGTCCATTATGACCCTCCAATATTCCTCATTGCAAACTTCAGCAATTTTTGTGGCAGCCCATCAGGCACCTTTGAGAAAATATGCAGCCACAGTCTCAATCTGAACCCACAATCTCATCCTTCCAATTCACAGCTATCAGTCTTTTAGCTGTCTGGTTTATTAAATTTGTTTGGTTCCCTCAGCAGGAGCTATTTTTCTGTTTGCCTGAGTTAGTTTGGCCCCATGTTCTGTTTTCAGGCAATTTATTTTTGAAATATATAATAATATGAGGAGCCAGCCTTCATCCAGAAGTGGTGTCCCCTTCAAGTGTAGCCTTCAAATCTTTGTACCTTGAAGGACCTATGATTTTACTCAAGGCATTTTTACTGCAATTCTCTTTTAAAATGATATATGTTTTACAGTTTTCAGGTCAATACGAAATTGTGTGACTCTTTAATCCCTCCTTTGTTTTTATCCCTTTGTTAGTGCAGGTGGACACAAATGCAGAAGACAAGTTTAGGTAAGAAAACAAAAAGGTATTTTAATTCAACAAGGCTCTTTCAGAAAGCAGGGTAAAAAAAAATATATAATCCGAATAAACTATGCACAGAGAAAGACTAGAATAACCAAAAGCACAGGAACACATGACTGATGTGGAATAAAGGAAACAAGACAGACTGACAGTGACAAAGGGAGGCACAGAGAACTCAGAGCAACCAACCAAATAGAACACAAATCGTTCAAGAGGCAGAATCATGACAGTTTTACTAAAGATGCTTTATAAATACCGAAATCTCACCTAATTTTACCAAATAGTATATCTTTAAAAAATACCGACAATTTCCCACAGAGTGGTTTTTACACAATATCACTCAAACTGGATAAAAGGAAAACTGGATAAAAGGAAGGTGTAAGTGGGACAGAATCAAAATTATCTAGAGCGCCCATGGTGGAGGACAATTAGCTTTTCTTTTCCTGACAATAGGAAAAATAGGCCACAAAATATCATCACACTTATTTTTTAATCAGAGCCTTTATTGCCAAAACCCACCTCTACCATTTATGTTGAGGAAATGTTTATATTAAGTTTCCAGGGAAAATAAAATAGTAAACTATCCAATCAGCAAGCTCGCACTTCTTCATTCTTGCAGAGGGGCCTGGTCCACTCTTTTGGTTTTCTGTCCTGAGACGGGTCAGGCCATTCATAACCAATGGGAATGCAGCTGAGGCCTTGGAGGGGTGAGTTTAATCTGCTATGAGGATAGTTTTAAACAAACTGGACGGTATATTTTCTCTAAAAGAAGAACAAACAACTACACACTGTGGTCACTATAAATTCTTCTGTGGCTCTGAGCTACGTCACATGATTCCTGACACATCTGAAAAAGTGAGTAGGTCTAGTGATGTCACGTTAACAAAGCATATATAATACTGAGGATGTTGTATGGTATTATTCAGATTTCATATTCATATTATTTATAATCACTGACATTGAAATCCATCAGAGGAATTCATCACTGGAAAAACTGTCTGCACTAACCGCAAATCTGGAAGGATTGTGCAGTGTCATCAAGAAAGTATCTCAGTAAAGTAAGGGAATATAAATACTGTGACAGGGCTGGGCTGATTTTCTTGATACATTTTTAGCAAACTTTAGCTGCAGATGAGTGGAAGCCATTTGAAGCTGACTGTCAGCTCCTCTGACACCGAGGTCCATAATCCTATGCGAGATATCTAAGCCACTTGAAAAAAAAGTAATTCTCTTTTAAATGCTTTAAACAAGAGTCTGGATTTGACAAACGTGGCCACTTTTCTCTGTTATCATGCATGCAGGGACTGACCTATTTGGTTTTTCTTTCGAGAAGGGGGATTTATATCAGAGGGATTTATATTTTTAGTTATGGTTATATTATATTGTATTTCAGTACAATGCAATGTGTTACTGATCTTTGCAAGAAGCTGACATTTTGCTTTTCCCTAACCAATCTACTCAAAAGCATATTGTTTCTGCAAATTTATTTAAAAGGATATACTGAAAAACAATGTTGAAATAAGCATTCCGATTCTTCAAGGTTGGCTCAGGTGTCCGATGATGTCTGATGTTTATAGACCTTGACTGGTGTCCACGCTGAATTCACACTTGTCTAAACAGGTCTCACTGCTGTTAGTATCTGAGCGTCCAAGGTGTCTGAGACGGGCAAAACTATTTTCAGCATTGAAGGTCCCAGAGCCACAGTAGTCTCCATTTTTAATTCTTAGACCCCCCACAAGTGTAACTGGTTGTGAAACTGTCTTATTTTAATTGTGCTGCCTATTTATGACCTACCAAAGCAAATAAGACAATGAGGGAGAAAATTTGCTTTGTCTTTAAACTAGGCTATGCGCTAGGATAAAGGCTAAGTTAATGGCTAACCCAACCAGTGTCCCCTAGTCTGTTCTTTGCCAACTCCAGGTCTCTTGCAAACGAGATGGATGAGATAAGAATGAGAATTACTCTACATTACCTCATCGCTATGCATCCTGCAAACAGCTGTGTGTTATAGTGAGGTTTGATATTCCAGCCAACTGTAAGGCCATATACATTGAGTGACTTAGTATTGTCTCGGGTGGGATATTCCCTTTGCCCTCAAGAGGAGGGGGAAGTATGGATTTCTTGTACCTGTACAAATGTATTTAATACTTTTGTTAAATCAGTTATAATATTGTTAAGGAATGTCTTTACTGACAGTTCAGGTTTTCATGACAGAGGACAATGGGAACGCTAAAGCTCTTTTGTCCACAGAGGCGCCAAAATCAATGGAAATGAAAAGTTCCTTGTAGGACCTTTACAGAAAGAAGACATTTGCAACAAACAGGACTCCTAGTTCTGGCCACCTGACAGCACTGAGCAACTGAGGGACAATAGCCACCCATGGCCTTGGATTCAACTGTCGTTCATTATAGTTTAGCTACAACACTTAGCTGTTTTTGTCACTTGAGGGGACAGTCTTTTTTCTAGATGCTGATGCAGAAACTCCAGGTGAGCATCTGCCCAAAAAGCTTCTTCATTAGCAAGGCAGACATCTAGCCTACTTGATTTGTATTTTCAAATAGTAACATATGTTAGGTGACTTAAGTGTCTCTCCATGAAGATATATTTAAAAATGCCTTTAGATCACAGTGCTGGGACTGAGACACACCTTCTTACCTTTCGCTAGATCTAAATGATCTAGGTTGTCTAGCCATGAGAAACAACTCCAGTAGCACCAGACACACTTTTGTGAGCTAAATGTTTAATGAAGTAGGCCTCTAGTCTCCAGAGTTTCCTGACGGCCAAGACCGTGGTCGTCCCAAGCTGTTTGTGTGTGCGTCTGTGAGAAAACACAGACAGCCGAGGAGCATGGAAAGGATGGGGAATGTCTTTGAGTGGTCGAAGATGTGGTGGTTTAGTTTCAGCATAGATTTATAAATTAGCACAGCTTTCTAGATTCCCACTATGAGCGCTCGCTGTTGGCGGGGGGCTGCTTACCTTTGAGTCGAGGGTGTTAACATTTTTATACATGCCATGACGTGGACGACCCAAACTGTTCACTCAACATGACCACTGACCCCTCAAGGTCGGGGCCGCTTTGAAACAGTGGGCGGCGTTGCGGGGCCATGTTTGACCCATAAAAGGTGATTTAGTAATAAATGTGATATTAAAACCATTTAAACAAAGCACTCCTGTAATTTCAACAATAACGTTTAAAGGAATAGCTTGTGTGGCGTGTGTTTGAATGTGAACACAGTGCCGGGCTGAGGATATCAGAGGAGGTCACCATTTCGATCCAGTTATGAGACTCTAACCATAGCGGTGACTTGATGATGAGTGAATTTTCATTCTTCAGGTGAACTACCCCTTTAAGTTACATAACTTGATTGTTTGAGGGGACCCCCCCCCCCACCCAGATGTGAGCACCTGCCAAAACCCCTTCTCCACCAAATCCCTTGAGCAAGGCATGACGTGCAGCAGCACACATCCACTGGACGTGCGTTTTAAAACCTGACTTTAGTTTTCTTCTGATGAGCTCGGGGATGGTGGTGGTCGCCTCCCCGCTTCTTTCCGGCGGCGTCGCCCCCTCCTCCTCCTCCTCCTCCTCCTCCTCTTCCATGTATTATTCAACTTGAGACCACAGAGCCCGGTGACGTCAGAGAAGTCGCCGAGCCGCCGCCGCCGCCGCTGCTGAGCCGAGAGTCGGAGGAGGAGGAGAGGGAGCGAGCCGCTGGATGTGGAGCTCGGACTGTGGAGCTTTTTTTTTTCCTTCTTCCTCTTCGGGACCGCTCGGACTTCTTCTCCCCCTCAGAGTAAGTAAAGTGAGTCTCCCCTCCTTTCCTGCACGCCTTTCTTTTGACTCCTGAGATTCCTCCGCTGCTGCTGCTGCTGCTACGGAGTTAGCCGTCCACTTCCTCCGCGGCTGAACACTGTGGTTGTGTGTGCGACTTTACTTCCGACACCTCTGTTCCCTTCTCCGCGTGTCGGTCCGGGAACACGCCGCTGCTGTGCCTCCACCGCGGGTCTAACGGGAAACTTTAGTTGCGCAAGTCCGCGCAAGGTGGACTGAGCTAACCCGTCGAGTCCGTCCGCTCTGCGCGGTGGAAAAATCTCCATCTTTCACCACGCGTCACTTTAAAGTTAAAAACAAAACATGGGGAGAAGAAATGTGCGTCAGCTCCTTATCCTGACTCCTTCGCTGGATGTTAACTCGAGTCGTGTGCAGTCGCTGTGCCGCTACTTCGTAATGATGGAGGAATAAACAGTGTAGAACTGTGCACGTCGGACCCTCACTCTGCCAGCGAAAAGTTTCCACATTCATCCATTAGAATATTCTGTGTTAACATGTCTAACGCATGTTTCTTGTTGTTCCCTCGCACAACCAGACTGACATGTAAATAAATAGTCTATGTGAAATTAGTCCAAGGGAAATATATGAGAGGGGGTGGGAGTGTTTTACTTCTTGCAGTAAAACAATCGGAATCCTCTTCCGCAGAAAGTCTCTATATCTGACTCTGTTTCTGTCACGACTCTGTCCAGATCTGGAGTCACATCTGTTCTGCTCTGTGACCAAACATGACACATCTCCCAAGGCACTGCTTTACACTTTGGCTCATGCGTGCTGTGGCCGTGTGCAGCCTCCATATGGATCATGCATACATGCATACATGCATGCATGTCTCTGAGAATGTAGGGTAATCCTGTTTGAGAGCATCACTTGTATTATTTACTCAGGCAGGGGAGGCACAGCCAGACACTCAGAATGAACGAGCTCTGCGCTTTTTAGCTCTTCATCTCCACATGTCATGATATTTTGTCTGCGTAATTGCTTTCAGCCCCACAACAGAGGATTCAGCCTGGTGTCAGCGTTGCAACTTGTTTGGTGTTTCTGAAAACTTCAGTAATAAATGCAGCCAGTGCTTTGAGGACGAATAAGCATCTGTCACTTCTAGTTTCCCTTTTTCCCTAGTTCTCCTTTCTTGGCTGAGGAGTCACGGACTTCTTTGGTTGTGAAACAGAGGTTTGAGAAAACCTGTTGAAGTCAGCCCTTTTTGGACAAACGTACATGTGCAGTTTCCAGTCTGCCTCTGAACTGGTTGATGGTGTAACATCCAGTAAACGATCTGTGGATTATGTTTTTCCCAGCCACTAGAGGCAGTAATTGAATAGCTGTTCTCCAAGTGGCTCATAGTGCATGCTGTGGAAAATCTGCATGAATTAGCCTGTGGGCTTCTATTAATTGAGATTCAGGGGGACAGCTTTCACTTCCTCTAGCTGCTTTACAGCACTAAAACAATGTGCTCATGGAGATCTGAAATTAAGAAGCATCACATAAAGGTCATATAAATTTATAATAGTCTTGATTCAGCTGAAAATGTCTGGGCACCCAGTGCGATGCCACCTTTTGTTTTATGGAGCTGGATGAGCTTTGGCTTAACACAAACATTTCTAAGAGTGCGGTTGAAATATAGCAGCCGTGCAATACCTTTTGCCTTGTGTTCAGGTGCCATCAATTCAAGTGCATATAAGATATAAAGTTCTTCTCCATTCAAAGTTGAGCCAAAGAGTGCATTGATCCTATACACTGGGAGGTTCTGAAAGTGTTGCTGAGCTGCAAATGCACATATTTAATACACAGTCTCCCGCAAAATGCCCTTATTTCACATAAAGATATGACTATAATAACCAAAACAATATTGATTTATCAAGACACATTTCCATGAAAACAAAAGCATCCTTGTGGAGAACACAAAGACGAAGAAGGACATATTTTCAGCCCATCTCTGCTCCCGCTAGTGTCAGATGATAACTGGCTAACTAATGGCTAATGTTAACTCTTGGCTGCTCTTCCTCAATTGCCTCTATTTATTTACAGACTTTTGGCAAGACTTGTTTTAGCTTGGCATGTCATGTGTTGTTAATTTCAAAACAAGCCAGGAAACTCATCAATGCAAGATATGGTTTTGCAAGATATTTAATAGGAAAATATT